GGAGCCAACACAAGCTATCCTATGATTAAAGGAATGAAAAATAGAGCATAAGTAGGTTGCGAAGGTGGCCAGCAGAGAGATAGAATGGTGATACAACCACTTTGGATGAGAGAGGTATAAGAGAAATAAATTTTTATTTAGCATATCAGGAAATTAATACATAATGTCTAAAGTAAATCAAGAAATAGTCATATTATGAGGTTAATTAGCAATATGGAGGTTACCACAACACAGAAGTAGTTCAAAGTAATTGTCTCTGGGCTGGGGAGGGTAACTCAGAGGATTGTTGCTTTTTTGAACCAACTGCATGTAATTTTTTGATGTGGTTTTCTTTCTTTTCTTAAAATTTTTTGACCACACCATACGGCATGTGGGATCTTAGGTCCCTGACCAGGGATCGAAACTGCACCCCCTGTTTTGGAAAGAGGAGTCTTAACCACTGGACTTGTGGGGATGTCCTTGACATGGTTTTTGAAGTTTTTTCTTTTTTTCTTCAATATGACAAAGATAGAGGTCTTTTAAAAATCCTCCATAAATTCACATTTTGTTATAGTTACCATTAGCTCTTTCCGTCCTTAAAATATATTCCTTAATATGTAGTAATAAAAGCCAACATTTATTGAATCATTGTTATGTGCCATCATTGTTAGTACTGCTTTATTTTCATCATCTCATTTAATCTTCACAGGCAACTTGTTGTACCTAGACATCTTGAAAAGGTTGTCTGTGTTCACTATCCACATTTGTTTACCATCCAGTCTCTCTTCAACCCACTCCAAACTGATTTTTGCCACCCAAACTCAGCTGAGACTGCTCTGGGTAAGTTTAGTTCAGTTGATCAGTCATGTCCGACTCTGCGACCCCATGGACTGCAGCACATCAGGCCTCCTCCCAGAGCTTGCTCAAACTCATGCCCATTTAGTCAGTGATGCCATCCAACCATCTCATCCTCTGTCGTCCCCTTCTCCTCCTGCCTTCTGTCCTTCCTAGCATCAAGGTCTTTTCCAGTGAGTCAGTTCTTCACATGAGGTAGTCAAAGTATTGGAGTTTCAGCTTCAGCATCAGTCCTTCCAATGAACACTCAGGACTGATCTCCTCTAGGATGGACTGGTTGGAGCTCCTTGCAGTCCAAGGGACTCTCAAGAGACTTCTCCAACACCACAGTTCAAAAACATCAATTCTTCGGCTTTCAGCTTTCTTTACGGTCCAGCTCTCACATCCATACATGACTACTGGAAAAGCCATAGCTTTGACTAGATGGACCTTTGTTGGCAAAGTAATGTCTCTGCTTTTTAATATGCTGTTCAGGTTGGTGATGGCTTTTCTTCATAGGATAGGAGCAAGTGTCTATTAATTTTATGGCTTCAGTCACCATCTGCAGTGATTTTGGAGTCCAAGAAAATAAAGTCTGTCACTATTTCCATGGCTTCCCCATGTGTTTGCCATGAAGTGATAGGACTGGATGCCATGATCTTAGTTTTTGAATGCTGAATTTTCAGCCAGCTTTTTCACTCTCCTCTTTCACCTTTATCAAGAGGCTCTTAAGTTCCTCTTTGCTTTCTGCCATAAAGGTAGTATTATCTGCATATCTGAGGTTATTGATATTTCTTCTGGCAATCTTGAATTCCAGCTTGGGCTTCATCCAGTCCGGCATTTTGCATGTACTCTGCATATAAGTCAAATAAGCAAGGTGACAATATACAGCCTGATGTACTCTTTTCCCAATTTGGAAACAGTCCATTGTTCCAAGTCTGGTTCCAACTTGCTTCTTGACCTATATACAGACTTTTCAGGAGGCAGGTTAAGGTGGTCTGGTATTCCCACCTCTTTGAGAATTCTCCAGTTTGCTGTGATCCACAGTCAAAAGTTCTCAGTAAGGACACCCATGATTTCCCTATTGCTGAAACTGGTTACACTTTCAGTGTCTTAAATGCCACTTCTTTCCTCCTTTGCATCCACAAGATCACACTGTTTTGGTTTTCTTCCTGCTTCTCTGGTTTCTTGTCAGCCTCCTTTAAGGTACTTTCTTCTACTTAGCTCTTAAATGTTGGGTACGCCTCAGAGTTCTTTCTTCAGTCTGCTTTTCCTCTCGCTTTACATTCCTTAGGAATATTCATAGATTCATACTACTTAAGTTACCACTGATGACACTCAAACCTCCATTTCTATCCCAACAGTTCTTTCTCCTGAATTACATACCCACAGACCACTGTCTACCTGACATCCTGATTTGTGTGCCCCCCTAGGATCTCAACTAAACGTGTCCCAGGTGAAATACATCAACATTCCTCCATCTTGCCCCTTATTCTACCACTATCCACACAGTTGCCCACTTCTAAATGTGAACATCATCCTTGATTCCTTAGCTGCCCTCCACATCTAACAACATATAAGCATCCATTAAGTTCTATACAGTCTCCATTATGGATTTCTATTTATCCTCTTCTAGGGGGCCACTACCTTAGTTTGCTCCATGACATTTTTTATTTGGACTATGGCAATGGCCTGCTAATTGGTCTCTCTGCCCTCCAGAGGGATTCTTTTTCATATGTAAATCGGAACGAGCCTCTTCTCTGCTAAAAATGTTCAATGCACCCTCAACCTGGATTCTTGCTGGCTGCTCACCTCTATCTCAGGCCATCTCTCTCTGGCCCCTGCCACACGGAACGGCTCACAGACTCCCAACTCTTTCTCGCCTGTTTTCAGGCATTTGCAGCCACTGCCCCCTCTGCCTGAGATCACCCCTCTTACCCACTTCTCTTCTTTGTAGTTCCCATTAATACTTCTTGATTCAGCATACCTCCTTGATTCAGTTTCCTCCTTGGTAGAGGTGTTTTCTGACCACAAAGGCTGTGTTGGGTGCTCGTTCTGTGTTTGCACAGGGCCCTATCATAGCACTTACCACACCACCACATCTACCTGTATCTTCCCTGTTTCTCTCACTAAAACTGCAAACCTGTAGGGGGTAGATAGTAGATTATTTTTCCTGGCTGACAGCATCCACCCATTGAATGAATTATGGGAGGTGGTACTACGCATTAGAAAGAACATGGGGTCTGGATTCAGACAGACCTAGATTTTGGTTTCCTCCTCTCGTTTTTTTCAGTTATAAGATGCAGATCACAGTTCTTTCCTCATAGAACTGTTGCGGAGATGAAATGAGGTGCCTAGCACAGGATGTGGCACGTTGGAGCTTGGAGTCAAGTGTGTGTTCCCTTACCCAACTCAGAGCAACCTGAGAACCTGGTTTGAGGACAACAGGATGAATTCAGGGTAGGTCATGCAGGAGGAGAAGCCAGTGGGGAGCAGTGAGTTGGGCCTGAAGCTGAAGTGGGAGCTGGAGGTACAGGTTTAGGAGTCATCAGCGCTCAGTCCTGAGGCCTAGGAGTAAATGAGACTGTACATTGGGGAAGGCTTGTGCCTAGGTTTGCCTTCCCAAAAGAAGGAAGAAGAAATGTTTTGAGGAATGTTAGAGGAGAACGGGAATAATCAGAGAGAAGCAACAGTGTGACACGTTGCAGAGAGGTTGAGGAGAATGTGTCCGTGGGCTTGAACTTTTTTTTTTTTTTTTTTTTGTGTTCATTTTAATGATAAAAGGGCACAGGAGTAAAAACCTGATATTTCACTTATATTGCATAACAAGCTAACCAAACTGGACATGGAGGATAAATTATAAAACAAATCATTTTACTTATTATTTCTATGACTTTTCTTTCAATTAGACTTCTGTCTTTTGAAATAGGACTGAGGTATAGTACACTGGCAAAAATAAAAAGAAGCAAACAGGAGTAGTGCCAAAGTAACAGATACCCAAAACCAAATGCCTTGTCAGAAAACGTCATATAGTAACCATTTATCAGATTAGAGCAGCAGAAGAAAGTTACTTTTAAATCATAATCATTTTAGTGGTATTTGTCAACCTTGCCATGGTACTTTGCAACATCATTCTTCATTTGTAAAGTAGTAAAATTCATGTCAGAAGGGAAAGGGGGAATGGAGGAAGTCAGTTAGTTCATTCCAATAAATTACCTCTCCAGTTCTTATAAACATGCCCATCAGCACAAAATTGAGAAATAATACCTAAGACTAGAAGAGACTTGGTTTAAGTTATAAAGCAAAATAAAGTGAAAAATACAGAAAAGTAGAACCAATGGGGTTGAAAAGGCCCCTCACTGAAAATCTGTATTAAAAAAAATAAAATTAATAAAAATAAAAATAGAAACAAAACTCTACTAGTACAAACTAGCCTGAGTGGTTTGATGGACAGAGTAATTAGGTCAGCTGTCACTGTACTCTTAATAAATGAATTTTCTTCATTCATGTTAAAGTGGCACATGAATGTAAGCTTTTTAAGAACAGGTATTATATTTTCAGAGGATCCAAATACTTACTATATATCCTATAAATAAAAAATATTTTTACTTTGATAACTGACTGAAGATGTGTGAACTCCATGTAATTCAACCACAAGGTTGTTTGCTGTATAGTCCTGTGCAAATATAAAAAAAAAAATTTTTTTGCTATAAGGCTTTGACCCTACAGTTTTCACAGCAATGTAACTACCATCCAGCATGTACCATATTTTGCAAGCCTTCAAGTTCAACAATCCAAATTGTTGATTCATATTATGTCCAAATGCAGCATCCTTGAGGAGTATAGTAGGTCAGTTAGTCATCAAGAGACATACAAACATCTCCTGATTCATCCCATCGAGAAGCATCATTCTGATCTTCTCCATCATCAACCAGCTCTTCATCAGCTTCTCCTCCACCATTCCCCTCATATTCTTCATCCCGAGGGAAATCTGTGTCCTGTCCCTGATCTACACCTTCTTGTCCTCCTGGTTGTGATTTATCTGCACAGTCTACACAAACACCATAGCGCCGAGATCCATGTCTTATTCCCACACTGGCTGCTAACATGAAGATCTTCTTACACACCATACATTTGTATTTTCTATCCTTTTTATGCACCAGGGAATGTCTTTTTACATGTTCTCTTCAAGTAAACAGTTTTCCACAAATATCACAGCTAAATGATCTGACTCCCGTATGAATGAGCAAATGCCTTTTTAGTGTTCGTCTGTATTTGGCTACATAGCTACAATGAGGGCATTTTAACTTGTTCATGATTAGAGATGATTCACCATTTTCCCAAGTTTCTTGTTTTGGCCAAGATTCAGGCAATAATCCATACTTGAAATCGTTAGAAGCACCTGGTATCAATCCATACTTGTAATCGTTTGAAGTACCTGGTATCAATCCATACTTGAAATCGCTAGAAGGGCCAGGCATCAGGCCATACTTGAAATCATGTGAAGGACCAGCATCACCTCCTTCTTGACCAGAGCTGGCTTCAGTCAACAAATTTGCACTGACATTCCTATCACAATCTGGCCCTGAGAGTAGAGCACCATCCAGATCTGGTTCTTCCTTGATGAATGACAAATCTTCCTCTGGATAGGCAACAGGTGGCTGCATCACCGAGCAATCTTCTAAATTTGTTTCATTATTAGGTGGTATATTATAAACAAATCTCTTTGTAGCTTGGGTTTTTCTCCTTGTTTTGCCAGTCTCTTGAATCCCCTGGGAGCCCATATTATTCCAAATGAACACTTTTGTTTGGCCTTGAGACTCATTTTCTGTCAATTCAGGTGAACCATCCTGGACCCAACTACTGTCATTCGTTTGTTAGTTTTCTATTTGGCCCTCGTCGACATTACAACCATCATTTTCAATTTTTACGTTACTTGCCAAATTGGTAAGATTTCGTGTTGCCCAAAAACTGGCAATTTTTTGATCCCGTGATGAAGACAGGCCATCTCTGTTAACTGGTTTTCTATTATTATAGTCCACAACTACAGACTCTGGAGCTTCTGATTTAATGCTTATATTTAAGGCATCTTTAATGAAATTTCGGCAAGTTTGAACAACTTCACTCATTTGAAGATAGCTGGCCACTGTCATTACTTCAATGGCATTTTGGCTTGTGAGCACCAGGTTACCAGAATACAAGAAGTCCAAGATGACTGAAAAACCTTGAACTGCAGCAATATCTAAATGGGTAGTATTGTTTTGGTTAGGGCTTTCTTTGTTTGAAAAGCAATATAAAGTCTTAAAGAAACGGCTGCCTGCAACCAGGATGTTCTTATGAGCTTTAAAGATTTTTCCGCTCACCACGATGCTGACATCACAAAGAATACCTTTCTTCCTCTGTTCATTTAGTTGTCGAAGAAGTTGATAGCAATAAGAGTTCTCATTTGGCCTACTATTAAAGTCACAGTATCCCTCCTCTGATGGTATTTCTGACTCAGAGTCACTAGGTGGGTGGTGGTGGTTTGGTCGCTAAGTCGTGTCTGACTCTTGTAACCCCATTGATTGTAGGCCGCCAAGCTCCTCGGTCCATGGGATTCTCCAGGCAAGGATACTGGAGTGGGTTGCCATTTCCTTCTCCCGTGGGCTTGAACTTAATGAGATCACTGATGTCCTTGGAAAGACTGTCAGTGTCTGTTTTGTGTAATCATTTGTTCTAGTTCACAGCAGAATGAGGGGGGCCATGTGGAACTTGGAGTTCCATAGCAAAAGCCATCGAACTGATAAGCAGGGAAAAAAGAGCTGAAGACAACAATAGCAGCAAAAACTGTTCATAAAGGCTGAGTTGGGGCACAAGCCAATGCCCAGATGCCAGGGATGTTCCCCACCTGTTTTACTCAATAGTCCTTTAAAATATCATCAGTCCATTAATATGAAAACTAAGGCTTAAAGAAGTTAATTAACTTTTTGGAAGTAAGTGATGAAATGACTCCACAGCCCTTGACCTGCTGGGCGTGAGGCAGCTTGGGGGAGGGGAGCTGGAGAAATCAGTCTGGGAGTCAATGGAGAGGTGTGGCAAGGCTTCTGGATAGTTAGGGGATGTTTTATGTACATAACATACTTCCCTGACACTGCTGGCCAAGTCGTGAGTGAAGTTTGCATGCACGCATGCTTGCCAAGTTGCTTACTGTACACCAAAGGCTACATCTAGAGTTGCATAGCCCCACAACATTTCTGCACTCAGAATGTTCTCCATCTGTGCTGTCGAATACAGTAGCCATTAACCACATGTGGCTACTGAGCACTTGAAATGAGGCTACTGTGACCAAGGAATCGAACTTTTAATTGTATTTAGTTTATTAGCTAATTTTAATTAGTTTATTTTTAAAAATTTTTATTTATTTTCTATTTTTTAGCCACACCATGTGGCATGCAGGATCTTAGTTCCCTGACCAGGGATGGAACTGGCACCCCTTGCATAGGAAGTGCAGCTCCTAAACCACTGGACCACCATGGTAGTCCCTAATTTTAATTAAATTTAAATTTTAAAACTGATTCAGTTATTGAAAATTTTGAAGTATATTTTGAACAATAGTATTTGTTGCTGTTCAGTCACTAAGCTGTGTCCGACTCTTTGCAACCCCATGAACTGCAGCATGCCAGGCTCCTTTCTCCTTCAGTATCTCCCGGAGTTTGCTCAAATTCATGTCCATTGAGTCAGTGATGACATCCAACCATCACACCCTCAGTTGTCCCCTTTTCCTCCTGCCTTCAATCTTTCCCAACATGAGGGTCTTTTTCACTGGGTTGGCTCTTCACATCAGGTGGGCTAAAATACTAGAGCTTCAGCTTCAGTTTTCCCAATGAATATTCAGGGTTGACTTTCTTTAGGATGGACTGGTTTGATCTCTCTGCAGTCCAAGGGACTCTCAAGAGTCTTCTCCAGCACCACAGTTCAAAAACATCAATTCTTTGGATAAAACTACTTTTTCAATTAAAAATTTTGTTAGCATTCAAACTGATATTTGTTGTACATGTAATATACACTAGATTTCTAAGACATATGAAAGAAATGAATGTGAAGTAGCTCATTCATAAATTTTAATTGGCTACATGTTGAAATGATAATATTCTCGATTGTGCTGTGCTTAGTTGCTCAGTTGGGTCTGACTCTTTTCGACCCTTTGGACTGTAGCCCACCAGGCTCCTCTGTCCATGGGATTTTTCAGGCAAGAATACTGGAGTGGATTGCCATTTTCCTCCTCCAGAGGATCTTCCTGACACAGGGACCAAACCTGCATCTCCTATATTTCCTGCATTGGCAGGTGGATTCTTCACCTGCTGAGCCATCAGGGAAGCCCCAATATTTTTGATATGTTTATTTAAATAAGTACAATATTAAAATTAATTTCACCTCATTATAGAAAAAAATTTAATGTGGCTACTAGAAAAATGTTAATTGAGCCTGTGGTATGTATTATATTTCCATTGGACAGCTTTGCTCTGAAGGTGTAGGGTCCTGGTACTAACAGAAGCTTCAGTCAAGTGGTGGGGTTGGAAGGCCTTTCCCTACCTTTTGCTACTCTAGTTGTCTCCATTTGTTTTTTCTCTCCATCCTTCTTATTTCTCACACCCTTGAGGTAGGGAAGGGATTAGGTACCTAATCATACCTCTACAGAGAATTTAATTTTAAAAGACAGCAGAGGTCATATAGCTGCTTCACATAAAGAAGTGGCTCACTGTAACTGGATTTAAGGCCTCTGATAGGGGGTATTTGGCCTTCTAAAAGTCTCTGTTGATAGGTGTTGGTGGCATCCTTCTTGGATTTCCAAGATTGTCCTGATTTACAGATTCTGACCACGTAAGTATTCACACTTGTCAAACTTTGAATCCCAGTTTAAAATTCCAAAATGCATATCTATGGGAAATTATATGTTCTGCTTATCTATAATACCACTTTATTATTTAAAATGAGCTTTTCTGAGGAGTTGGAGGATACATGTACTTGCAAACCTGTTTTGCTAAAGCCCCAAATCATAGCTGGCATTTCTGGGTGACAGAATAAAACACTGACAAATGTACATCTCCAAAGTTGGCTCTTTGGAGCCTCTATTAAAAGGACATGTAGTAAAAAAAAAAAAAAAAAAGGACATGTAGTAGAATCTCTTATTTATTTTTGATTTTAAAACAATGTAGCCTTGGGGAAAACAATAGAGAGAGGGCATTTGGGTAGACTCACATTGTTGCTGAGAGGACTAAATGAATTCATATATGCAAGGTGCTTGGACCAGCGTCTGAAATATAATAAACCCTCAACTCAATCAATGTTAACTATTAATATAAAATAGGCACAGGATTCTTCTAGCACACACATACTGTGTGCTAGAACTTACGTGGTCATATGTGATCACATCTGATTCCAATGAGTTATTATTGCAAGCACACTAGACTATCTTACCCAACAGAAGGAAAAGGTTAGAACAGTCAGACCCCAGGGAGCTGTGTACAGCTGGACCTCAAGAACTTTGAATGCTGCAGGCACTCTCTGTCTCTTGTCTGTGCCTCTGTATGTTCTGATTTCATTCTTGCTAACTGTAGATGAGCTTCCTCACATGGCCAGAAACCAACAACTCCCAAAACTATCTCTTACAATTTCTTCCACTGGAGAGAGCTTCTTCTGAGTTATAGTTGAAAAAAATAACCCAAGGAAAGGGCTATAGGTGACTTAGCTTAGGTCAGGTCCCCATCCTTAGACCAGCCTATGTTGGTGGTGGGAGCGAGGACATACAAGAGCCTAGTTGCTCTCATGGAAAACCAATGGTTGGAGTTTGGGTACAGAAATTCCCCAAAATAAAGGAGACTGTTGAGCACACCCTTGCCAGACTCAGACGTGTGCTGGGGACTTCCACAGAAAAGCCTAGCCCCAGCTCAAAACCTGCAGCAAATTGAGCCTGTCATTTAACTGCGTCCATTGCAGCTCATCACTAAGTTTTCTTGAAGGGACATTCAAACAGCCTATCTATCCATGGTTGCCAAAGTTTACCCCTTGTGCCATGGATTTACTTCTATACACAACAGGGAGTAGCTCCTCCATGTTCCTCCATCCTGTAGGGTCTGAGCTTTTGTTAACCATACCCTTCTCGGGGTGGGATTACTGCACTTGTGCTGACCTTGGAACACCGGGTCGGGGTTAGGTATGAATACTGCCTATGCACTTGCTGATTGCTCCCGAGACTATCCCAGAAGGGAACGGCCTGGGGTGAAAACAAGGAGATCTGGCCTATGTCAATGTAGTGTCTTGGGAAAGACAGATCAAAGAAAGTTTTGTAGTCTGCAATCAGAAATAAAAGCTGGACTCAGAGTGGACTCTGCACCTCAGCCCAATAGAGGCTGCAGGTGCCCTGACCCACTGCCCAGATTTCGTGTTCTGTTTCCATTCTTGTTGCTTGCTCCCGGACCTTTGGGGCAACAGTGGGCGCCCAACGTGCGGCTGGAGCGAAAGTGAAAATACAGCAACTCAAAGGAGAGGCCTCTGAAAATTCTGGCTGGTAAGTCTTCAGGCATTTAATCAGGGTTAAAATGGGAAATGTTGAGAGTGCAGAACACTATTGCCCATATATTTGTTTATTAAGACAGCTCTTGAAAGCCAGAGGAGCGTCTTTTAGTGAAGGGCGATTATTAGAATTGTTACAAGCAGTGGATAAATATTGCTGCTGGTTCCCGTCAATAGGGAAGTTAGATTCTAAAGTCTGTGAAAAAAACAAAATAAGATAAAATAAAGTCTG